GAAAAGTGGCTGTGACATCAATTTGAGGAGAGAGGTGTACCTTTCACTGGGAGAATCTGCACTCCGTTACGGTATTACAATATACGGAACATGCGCTAAATAAAACAACACAAAATCGATAATATCATAAATAGATGTGTTAATAATATAGTATATGGGTCTAAATATGAGCCACCTGAAACCGAAGAAAGAATGAATGCAGTCGGAATATTATCTTTTAAAAATGTATTTAAATTTGTTGTTTTAACCAGCCACTATTTCTTCAGTGAGTTCAGAGACATACCAAACAGAATAAAAACGCTCCGACACACAGAAACCTATGCCATTCCAAAAATATGTACGAACTATGAAAAAAATACAAAGACAGTATTATGTTCCTGAGATATTTAACAACTTACCTAAAGATCTCCTTAACCTGTCATCCAAGAAGCAGATGAACAAGAAGATAATAGAGTGGTGTTTTTCTGTCTAGTGATGTAATGAACGATAAAAGATGTACGTAGATACTGATTTGTGAAAATTGTTCGTTTGATGTTTCTTCGGGTACTACTGACTGAGTTTATTATTGCATTCAATGTTACTTATCGCATAGACTTGTTATTAGTTCGTTACGACTGACTGATTGTTTTTCATTGTTGCACCTGTTATTGCATTTCGCGTTCAATTTTGTTAATAGCACGTGAACTCTCGTAGCTGCCTGTGCTATTTTTGTACTTTTCTCTCTTTTTTTAGAGCGCAGCTCTTAGGCGCCCGTTTTCGGCTTGAGCGGCGTCGCCGTCGCCGTCGGCGTAACCGCGCGGTGCATTACGGGAAATGTCCCATAATGCACCGCGCGAGCCCCCCACCGGTGTCACGTGACCTCGTGGGGGGGGCACGTGACCCCTTCGAGGTCATGTGACCCCCCCCCCCCCCGAGGTCACGTGACCCCCCGAAGTCACGTGACTCCCCTGAGGTCACGTGACCCCCTCCTCGAGGTCACGTGACCCCCCGAGGTCACGTGACCCCCGCCGATGTCGCGTGACCCCCCGATGACGTCATCGTCACTGATGACGTCACCGGCATCCACATCGTCATCGTCATCATCACTGATGACGTCATTAGTGACGTCACTGGTGACGTCACCGGCATCCACATCGTCATCGTCATCATCACTGATGACGTTATCATCACTGATAACGTCATTAGTGACGTCACTGATGACGTCACCGGCATCCACATCGTCATCGTCATCATCACTGATGACGTCACCGGCATCCGCATCGTCATCATCACTGATGACATCATCAGTGACGTCACTGATGACGTTACCGACATCCGCATCGTCATCGTCATCATCACTGATGACGTCATCAGTGACGTCACTGATGTCGTCACCGGCATCCGCATCGTCATCGTCATCATCCCTGATGACGTCATCAGTGACGTCACTGATGACGTCACCGACATTCGCATTGTCATCGTCATCATCACTGGTGAAGTCGTCAGTGACGTCACTAATGACGTCATCGGTATCCGCATCGTCATCGTCACTAATGACGTCATCAGTGACGTCAGTGATGACATCATCGGCCTTGGGGGGTCACGTGACCTTGGGGGTCACGTGACCCCCCAAGGTCACGTGAACCCCCTGGTCAGTTGAACCCCCCTTAGTACCCTTCCTTCGTCCTCCTCAAGAGCTGCGCTCTAATTCGGTGTTACAGGGAGTTGTAAACGGCTTTCACTTTTTTTATCCTAATCATATAGGATGTTAAGTGCCGTATGCGTTTGTGATTCATTTAATTGTGAATTATATTTATGTCTACAAAATACATATAATTACTGCCATGTCCCTCATACAAGCGTTCTACGCTTAAGCGGGCTGGATTGTTTGCCGGTTTTTGATTGAAAATAAACTTTATCCTTTATCCTTTAACGGGTTTCTGGGTATCTCATTTTAATTTTGCATCGCACGCTCGGGAGTTAGTGTGCGAGGCTCTAGTAACGTAATATAAATATAATCACAAAGAAATGTAATCAGCTTGGACGTAGTAGGTGAAAAAAGTACAGAGTTTCAAGCACTTTGTTTTGTCGATTACATTTTGGTATAGACAAACAAAGAAACGCTCGAGACGACCTGGACGCGCAGCACTAGCTAGAGAATGTTTTACTGTTGCAACTTGCACCAGTTACGAAAATCTGGACGACCCGCACATTTAGAATGTCCCAGGCAAAAATATGGATGGATATTAGGCTGGAAAGCATCACAAGAAGTCACAGGCACATATTTAGCCAGTCTGCCTGGGAACGTCGATTTCGTCCCTATTCTTTCCCGGGACTAGCACCGTAATTACAAAGTCACTAAACGCTTGTGCTTGGTTGAGAGACACCGCATTCGGTGCAGAACGTAGTTTTCTTCCTGCTCTTGACAGTGCATTTAATGTATTTTCGCCCTCAAAATTGTATTTAATTACAATGGACCTTTTCCACATACCGGCGGCACCAGGCGGTGGCGGCACGAACTAAAAATCGAGGAAGTGACGTACCTGCGCTACCAATCGATAATGGGAGCTACGCTACCAGTTTCTTCGCTCTCTGAGCAGCGGCGCCTGCCATTAAAGAGTGGCATCCGTGGCGTCCACCCATACGTCGTGTTTTCCTTTCCGTCGACGTTCTTTTTTTGTGTAACACAATTATATATGTGCTGCAGTTACGTGTTCTACTCGCTGATATACAGCCTCCTTCCAAATTTCCTCGATTATTCGTTCCGACTTCCGCCGCTTGGCATCGGGCGCTCGCGCGTGCGCAGAACGCTTCTCGGAAAAGGTCCATTGTACTTAAAATACCCACGTTTTAGCATTTAAATACACACGTCAACTACATTACCCAATTTGTAATTAAATACAAATGCAAAATACACAAAGTATTTGAAATACGTATTTCAAATACGTATTTCAAAGTATTTGAAATAGTGCTCATCCCTGGTCGCCATGTTTACATCTGGTGGCTCTCCTTTACGATCGCTTAACGTTACAATCGCTGAACGTACTTCTTTTCTATTTTAAATGCATCGTTTCAAAGGAGGAATATAAATTTCAGTCGACTGAGTCTTACACGATCAACGATAGTCAATAAACCAGCTTTCTTTAGTAGTTCTCTTGGTGAATCGAAATGACTGTATTTCTGGTAAACAAATTTGACTGCCCTTCTCCTGGGCACTTTCTATAATATTTATATTCTCCTGCGTATGTGGGAACCAGGATATAATTGCGTATTCTAGTACTGGACGCACAAGAGGTGTGTATATGCTAAAAGCTCTATTTCGGGAGTTGAATATTGTTACGTTCTCTTCAGAAAGAATAATTTTGCCTGGGCTTTGTTTGTTGTATATTTAACTTGTGCGTTCCAGCTTAGGTGGAATGCTAACATTGATACAGAGATGCTTATATTGACTGACCCTGCGCAAGTCTACACCGTTAACACTGTATGGAAACTCAAGAATATTCTTCTTTTCCTCGTTCGGCACATAGTAACAACGGTTTTGTCAGAATGTAGAGCCATTCGCCAGTTATCAGAGCAATCGGTTATCTTTTTTAGAGATTCGCTTAGTAGAAATGGGTTAGTTTGGCTTGCTATTTCACGATAGATAATAGAGTCGTCGGCAAAAGTTTTATATTTGCCTCGATACCATTAACAATGTAATTTATATAGAGAAGAAACATGAGTGGTGCCAAAACAGTGCTTTGCGGGACACCAGACAGTACCTTAACTGGTCGAGAGGCGTGTCCTTCATATCATACAAACCGAAACATGTTGTTTAGGTAATTTTCTATCCACGAAGCTAGAGGACCCTCAGCCATGATCTGTGTAAGTTATTTTTTTTTAAGAGCTTTGATGTGTAAAACACGTTCAAACGCTGTTGATAGGTCTATAAATATTGCACGTATCTGGCTTCTATTCTTTGTGCCCGTCGCGAAGTCATGGATAGTCTCGACCAGTTGCGTAACAGTTGATAGTCCACTTCTAAAGCCGTGTTGCTGCGCGTATGAAATGATGTGTTTTTCAATAAATATCGTCATTAATTTAAGGATGATGTGTTCGAGGAGTTTACAGCACGTGCATGTAAGATATATAGGTCTGTAGTCTGAGGCCAATGAGTATTCGTGGATTTGTGAATAGGTACAGCATTAGCCATTTTCCACTCGGTTGGCACATAAGAACAGCCGAGACTTATTAAAACTAACACTAAATATTTACTAATTCATTCGGCATAGCGTTTTAGGAACATATTTGGAGTTTCGTCGGGACCGTTACCTTTTTTATTTCTAGTTCAAGCAGTAAATCGAGAACGCCGGGCTCAGTGACCATTAGGCTTCCTAGCCCTTCAGGGTCATTATTTGGAGTTAGAATGGAAACAGTGTTGCCGTTGTGAGCCGTCTGAACGGACTCAAAGTAGCCGTTGAATTAATCTGCCATTCTCTGTTTCTCCGGGGCTGTCACGACAGGTTTTTTACTTTTTTTGGTTTAATGTGGTTCCAGTATTTTTGGGGAAATGCTTGCAAAACCTCGCGAAGGATCACGTTGTTGTACTTTTGTTTGTCACTTGTTGTACTACCGCTTGCCCAGGCCTCACGGTCCCCGGCACACTCCCTCTCTTATTTATTTATGCGGATCCAAATAAACGTTTATGACTAAATGACCTTATCTATTCCGCACGCGTATCTAAGATTTGTGGGGCATAGATATGTCGCTCTTACATTTCACCAAGCCTCAAACAACAATTCGCCATGAGGGAAAGGCACGTGAAAGTGACGAAGTGGAAAAAGTTTCGTCCCGTGAGCGTGGTCTCGCCAAGGGTAAAGCTAACGTCTCATGCAGAAAATGGACAGAAAACTAATAACTTGACCGCTTAAATTCAAAGTTCACATAGTTAAAAAAAAATGAAGAAAAACGAAAAAAAAAAGAGAAGAAAGAAAGAAAAAGAAGGCACAGAAGATTATGATTTTTTTAAGAAAAATACTTACCCAGTAGAAGAACGGTGAGCAAGAAGTGGCTGAGGTAGTTGGATTGGAAGCAAGCTTCGTAGCCGTCTTCTGTTAACTTCACGGTGTTCGAATCTGCCATAGACACAACAAAACACGAGTTTCCGTATAATGTTCTGAGCACTCCCTGTCTTTCTTTTTTGTCTTTTTTTATTTTTTCTCGCACCCTTGTTACAGCATTTGATTCACGAAGCAAGTCAAAGCGCGCATCACGGGAGCCCCGGCGTTGAGACGCGGCTGGAAGCCCCTGCGAGGTAATGCGCCGAGAAAGTGGAGGGAGAGAACGAGACGACAGCGGTAAGGGGACGTCAGAATGCAGAGTTCTGATTGGAAGGATTAGTGGGTAGACATAAAGCTGGCTGCCTTTGTGTACACTGCACTCGTCGAACGCTTTAGAACGCGGAACTCCGGCGTCCGGCGTTTGGCTCTCGCATTCGAACGCTTACGACGACTGCAGTGGAAATAAAGGCAGGTAGCTCTAGCTCTACCCACTAATCCTTCCAATCAGAGCTCTGCATTCTGACGAGCCCGCCCGTTCTCGGTTCCTCCTCTCCCTCCACTTTCTCAGCGGATAGGCCTGTTTCTCACGGACAGGGGGCGAGAGGGCGTCCTCAAGGTGCGACCATGTAATGATTCAATCGAACGTAAGGCGGCACTGTAGCGCTCGATCCTACACGAGCCATTGTCGTTTACAATCGTGTGCCAGCTTTCGCCTACTAACAATGTGTCTGAAACAACTAAACAATCTGAATCACAAAAAACAAAACGCCAAAACACAGCTTTATTGAAATTATAAGAATGTTTTTCTTGTAGCTCCTTTGTTCTTGTTATTTTCTTTTACAAATAATAATAATAATAATAATAATAATAATAGCTTTATTAAACATGTATAAGCATGGTGGGGGCTGAGAAAAAAAGCTGTCCAAGCAGCTTTACTGGTCCTCAGCCCCCCTCACGCCCACCAATGCAATTCTGCCAGCTAGCGTCCGCGAGTAACGCGAGAAAGCGTAATAATTAGGACTGGGCGTCGATTAAAAGTTTTGACCCCATAAATCGGCATCTTTGATTGATTAATTAATCGATTAATTGGTCTCGTTCATTTCCATGCGCACTATTTTTGTTAAATCAAAATTACATTTTTGTTCTGAATATGTAATAAACGGCGGCGCAACATACAATTTCAACTGCAAATCAACATCAAGACGTAGCTGAGAACAGTTGAAACACACGCGAGGCTCGTTCACACACCTGCGTTTGACTAGGTTAAGACTGCTTGCGTCGAACTGTTGCCAAGGCGACCCTTGCGACGAGCCAATGGAGAGGCCCTGTACAGCACGCCGCAACGCAGTGCAACGTCGGTCGACGCAAGTGTGTGAACGAGTCTTCGCGCTCACAGATGATTACTTCAGCTGCATAAGGCAAAGAGGTTCGATGATATACTCCGGCAAGAGCGTCATCCTTTGAACGTTCACGATAGCCTCTGCTGCGCTAAACGGACACTCGCACGGCGTAGAATCGGTCGGGACACGTGTAACCTTTTGAACTTTTTTGCATTTACAAATCTCGCCCTAACAGTACTTTAATTAGGTTAAAATTTCACAAAAAACGTCCCCTTCATATAGATGTACTTGTCCATGTCAGCGTGGTGGAAGCATTTCTGTTTTACTTTTTTTTTGGTTTGCTCAAAGTTGACCGCTTAACCGTTTAAAAAGTTAATCGTGTTAATCGTGATTAAAGCAGTAATCGATAAATATGTAGGTTAATCGACTAATTGCACAGCCCTAGCTTTACTTCCTTTGAAAACCAGCGAAATTAAGTTTCACGTTCTAGTTCGCAAAAAAAAAAAAAAAAAAATTACGGACAGGTTTTTATGTTTACCGATGGCAAAACAAGATATTTTCAATGACGCCACTAGTGACAGGCGTTATATACATGAAATAGTGCCCGTGCCCAGACTCACTTTCTACCATTGTCAGTATTTGCGAATATTAGTCTAATCGTCACCAATCACAACGTTTTTAGACGCGGTAAAAATGACAGTACGGTTTGAACCCCTCACATTCTGAACGGCTAGGGCATTGCTCACGACGGTGCATACGTGGTAAACCGCCGCCTCATGTCGCGCCCGTCGCGTCTGCTGCAAGAGCGACGGTCGCTTCTCGCGTAATACTTATATAGAAAAAAATACTGTTGCAGTACTCTGCATTGCAAGCGAAGCATATACGGTTACTCTAGGGCACCTTACAGTGCAGCGCCATCTGGGTATGTGCTTCAATGCCTGTGTATTTCACAAAGCACACTGTACTTACCATGTCAGCCGTCCCTAAAACGGTGGAGCGTCGAACGACTGAACGTGGCCCTTCGGGGTAAAGGGGTGCGCTGCTCCAAGAAGAAACGTCTATGGGCAGTTTCTTAGCTAAGTAGATCTAGTAACGTCCAGAGCAACCAACAGAGTCGAGCACTGCCGACAATTGCCGAAGTCGTGTTTGGATATTTCTAAGCCCCGCCGGCGTACAGGTGCACTACGCTAGTTTTGCTTCTCGAGTAGCACGAAGCTGAAGATTTTTGGTGGTCATCCCCACGTGCACGGAGCATAGCACAAGTAAGGCGCCCGTAACTTCAGATTCGGACGTCCGTGCCGCTATGCTAACTGCGCTTTAATGTTTTTCTCACTCGTTGTTGCCCACTGTGTTCACTTTTCAGTGAAAGGTCGGAGATATCGAATAAGTCGTACCAGTAAAGCGACTACCAATCGCCGTTAACAGCACATATATACTATAGTATGGCAACTTCTCGGGTTAAAAATGGAGATCACTATTGGTGTTTCCATGGGCGTACCAACCGGGGAGCAAGGGCGCTTGCCCACTCCCCCCCCCCCCCTCCCCCCAGTTCTCAGAGTGGGGGGCAGGGCATGTGTTTTGTCACCCCTGAAACAGCCGCCACTGGGCAGGACAAACACTGGCCGGCGGCGCCCAAGGAATACCAAATCTGCCCCCCGACCCGCGGGGGGCATATTTTTAACGCGCAGGCGATACAATCCCTACCGACGGCGCTCACGCCGGATTGGCGGGTTCGTGGAGATAGGCGCTGCCGCTGTCAACATAGGCAGTGGTTACAATGCGAGTTTCCGAAACGGTAGCGTCACTTAGTTGTAAGATGTGTGCCTCATGCGTAGCAGACCCGGGTTCTATCCACGATGTGGGCTTCTATTTCTCTTTTTTTTTTTTCTCGAACATTTTGTTTTGTCGAGGCATTTTGCGATATTTACTACATTTCGTTTGTTACACTGAAAAAAAAACAAAAACAAAAAAAAAAAAACGATAGTTGTCGACGCGCTGAACTAAATCGCAGGGGACAGCGGGGCTTGGGTTGCCGGCTGCAAAGCGGCGTGTACGGGGGTAGAAGGGGGGGGGGGGGGGGTGCTATGGTGGGTTAATAGCTTTGTAATTAGCAGCCGCACACTGTCACCGCGAAGCGTCGTGAACGTAGGCCGGAGGGGGAGGAGGGGGGGAGATTAACGCGGTTTGAGTGATACACGCGCCGTCCAAATCCGAAATCTAAGTTTCCGCGCATTGAGCCAGTCCGGCGTGAGCGTCGTTGTTAGGGGGTCCATCACTTGCGCCGTAAAAGTTAGTGATGGACCGAATCTGCCGAACTTCAGATTCGGCAAAGTTGCGCACGTGCCAAATTTTAGAAGCAAAGTTCGGCAAATATTCGGCAAAAATTCGCCAAATGTCTGCGCACGCGCACGACCGCGACGGGGCCATGATTCGCAAATAGTCGCCGCGCAGTCGCGCCGTTATTATCGTACAGTTTAGTACAACCAGCGGTTACGGCGAAGTGTGGAGTGGGCGACACGGTAACTGTGCGTTTTTGAGCTTTCGCGAGTGTGGTTCTCTTCAATATTTTCTGCCTCAGGAACAGGAGATCGACTAGTAATTTGTGCAGCCCACTGCGCAAGTGACAAATGATGCGGTGCATTCTGGATAACGTGATTTTCATTTGATCTTTCCATCAATGAAACGAGGTAGTTGAAACATTGACTGACAGCTGGCCAATTACGCTCAGTGTTCGAAGCCCACTGCCGTCAAACGGGGCGGAGTCACGAGAGCTTGCCAGAATGTATGGGATGCTGCTGGCATCCTCGTCATAATGTGATACATGTTTCCGCCTTTTCTTTTTTTTTTGCGCACTTTCTGTAGTATGTATAGTGTACATTTATATATCGGTTTTGTTTTTTCACATATGGTGGTGGGCTGGTAGGCGCTCTGCGTAAGGGTTTTCACCTATCTGCCTAGCCCCGCACACTACCACATGGGCCCCTTCCAGTGTGGGCAAATAAATTTATTCTTATGAATATAACAATCCTATATTCGGCTCAGAAGTACTTTGTGCCAAAACAAAATAATATTGCTTTTTAGTTCCCGCTATTTCGCGATTTTCATGAACCTGCATAAAACTGAACACAAAACTATCATGCTCGACATTGCACATCCGACATTTTTTGTCTCCCCATCTTCCTAAACGCCTGTGTGTGTCCTAACACCAGAAACCGGAATTTTAAAGGTTAAAAACGGCACGTTGCGAATATGGAACGCACACTTGCTGGCAAAGCTGACGTCAAGTGACTCAAATCGAAACGCATGCATATTTACAATATTGTTATTTCTTCTGGTGAAGGCTCAGCAGCCGTTGCATTCGTTTTCGCGCACGACACGGCGACTCCTAGAGAAAATAGGAACGTAGTGATTGCCATTATTTTAACAATTTAAACACTTGCAGGCGTGCGCTGATGAAGTTTCAAAATTATAACTCGTAGCGTGATTCATGACTGCGCCGGCTACTACCCAACCTCGTTGTCACAAAACTTTCCGGAAGCAGACACTGAAATTGCAAGTAAACAAACATAAGCGACACCCATACAATTATCTTGAAGAATATCACCTTATTTAGTAATAACTGTGTCAACAGGCACTGCATGTTGTATTTAAGTTAAGAAAAAAAACTTAACCTTTGTTTGTAATAAAAAAACTAAATATCCACATTAAGTCTGGTAACAGTATTTTTGCCAAATCTTTGCCGAATATTTGCCGATCTTTGCCGAATCTTTGCCGGATCTTTAGAAAAGCTCGGCAAAAGTTTGACTCCACCGATTCCTAAGATTCGGTGCCTAGTTTTCTATTCGGCAAAAGTTCGGCCCATCACTCGTAAAATAGTAAAAATATGCGACCCGGGAAAGGGGGGGGGGGGGGGGGGGGGCGGGTTCGTGTGCCCATCCACTCAAAAACAAGTTGGTACGCCACTGGTTTCCATAGTCTCCGCTCTGGCAGTTCGACGACGGAGCCATAGTGTGCATGGTCGCAGATTTGGGGCGCGAGGATCTGGTAGCTCAGTGCATCTAAGAGCCATTTCTCGGGGAACCTGAACGTTAGCGCACCGTTTTTGCAGCGGCGAGGACCCGAAACACACTTTTGGGTCCTCGCGTGTCGGCGCAGCGTCTCGCGGCAACGGCGAGACGCTGCGTTTCGCCGTCTCGCCGCAGCGGGGCGCCCATCACACGGCCCTACTTTAATTCGTTGTCTGCCACACCACCTTTTCACTTTCGGCGGCCGCGTCTTGAGGCGATCTGCCAGGCTTCGTCAGTACAGAAGAGGCTATGGTGCTTCTAATGTCCCGCATCTAGGTGGTTTCGGGTGGCGTGGGTTCTCTGGCACCTAAATTATATACTGTGGCTTTTAGTCTTACACACCGTGGATCATGCCGGCGTTGTTGATGAGCACGTCCAGTCTCGCCTCGGTGTCCACAATGTCCCGGGCGAACTTGCGAACGGATTTGAAGGACGCCAAGTCCAGGTGTTTCACGACGACGCTCTGGCCGGTCTCCGCCAGAATTTCCCGGGCCGCCTCGTTGGCCTTCTCGAGGTTTCGACATGCGAGGATGACGCGGGCTTTGCGGCGAGCGAGCTCCATGGCGGTCTCCTTCCCGATGCCTGAAACAACAAGCCCTTAGTTCACCCAGCCTGCGCGGGAAATTAAGAGATTGCTTCACCGGCAACAGCCCACCTAGCCACCCAGCTCGTACGCCATCCCAAGAAACGCCGCGTTCGCTGCAGACATGATAACAAAATTACCTGCGCATACGCCTCAGGCATGTTGGGAGCATATTTGCTTCAGGCATGTATAGAGCATGTCTGCGGACTTTCTTTTGAATCATGTACTAGCTGTCGGACCGCAGCTTTACAGTTACTAGTAATTATTTTTTTTTATTAAAACAAACCATAAAACTTTACATTATGTTTGTCTCAATAATTTCGAGGAGAAGCGCTTCGCGTTCATAAAGTGTGCAGCCAAAATAAGTTTCTTGTTTTGCACTATTTTGTTTTTTTAGATGTGAATTTATGAGATTTGCTCCCAGTCTTATTTTTTCATAATTTTTCAGTTTTCTTTTTGTTAGAACGACTCTAATCTTCAATTGAAACAAACTATAATTGCAGTATTTCATGATAAAAGGTTCCCCACCAAAAAGGGACAACAGAAACACAGAGACAGATCAGACACAGCGTCTGGAGGTGTTATTTTGTGCTCCCAAAACTAAATATATTTTCGGAATAGTCGGGCTTCACTCTTCACTGCAAGCTATATATTATTTCTATATTCAATATTGTTATTGAAGAACCGACAAATGAAGGTGATGCCAAAATTACCATTCAAATCTTCTTGCGCCCTTCAGTGGGATGACGTCAAATGTTGTATAACTTACAACTTTGAGCAGCCGGTCCAAAGCACCGCCTAAAGCATCTGTTCGTTCTGATGGCGTGAACTTCCCAAACCTTTATTCCACAGTATCAAACTCTTGTAAGCTGTCTGGAACGAGCTTTATTTCCCAAGTGTGACCCAAATTACAACGATTGACGTAAGGTTTTCAGTATTTCAAGTACAGCCTCCAAGCCTCTGAGAACAAATGTGAAACTTTAAGAACTATACGGATAAAGATGTATTCTGATTTCTAGTTTGGGTTATTGGTTCGAATAGGTCTATATATATGTTGAACAGAACTGAAGCGATTTCCTGAGCATCAAAATTTCACCAGGTGTGGGAATTGCATATGAGCAAAGGCGGAAGAGCTCTTGTTTTCGCAAGTATACCGGTCTGTTTTCAGGAATGGTTGGAAGGGGAGATTAAAACTCGAGCTTACAATTGACATGGTATTAATAACAAAGATTTAAAACTTGGGGGACACTTAAGCTTCGCCTTTAAGGGGGCAACGCGATAGCGTTATCGGGCCCCGTTCGCAAAGCCTTCTCATTACACCCGCGCTCGTTTTCAAACCGTGCAAGTGTGTGTGCATGGCCTATTCTACAGGAAGCAAGGAGACGGTAGGCTCTTTAGATCGACCGGAAAATTCGGTTTCTTAACCTATCGCGCTACGACTTTGTGCAGCGTTGCCCGCAGATGGTGCATTTTTTTTTCTAAATTTGCAAATAGGGAACTTACCTGAGGAAAAAGTAAAGAAAGAAAAAGGCTTAGCTCCTATGGAAACTCAGCGAGGCCACCGGTCTTCAAACAACACGGCGCCGTTTCGCACGGGAGACAAGAGATGGCGCAACGAACGCTGCCAACGAACGAGCATACGGCGCCGAGAGCCGGCGTATTTAGCAGACAAGGAACTGCAGTTCCTTGTTGTTACTGAGCCTGTTTTTGTTTCTGCGACTGTCGCCGCCTGCGGAACGCGCGTCGCTTTTGAGTCGAAAAGATTGTCTGCTAAAGACTCTGGCTCTCGGCGCCATATGCTCGTTCGTTGGCGGCGTTCCTTGCGCCATCTCTTGTGTCCCGTGCGAAACGGCGCCGTGTTGTTTGAAGACCGGTGGCGTCGCTGAGTTTCGATAGGAGCTAAGCCTTTTTCTGTCTTTACTTTTTCCTCAGGTAAGTTCGCTCTTTGCAAATTTTACAAAAAAAAAAAAAATGCACCATCTGTGGGCAACGCCGCACGAAGTCGTAGCGCGATAGGTTAAGAAACCGAATTTTCCGGTCAATTTAAAGAGCCTACCGTCTCCTTGTTTCACCCAGTATAGCGCCACAACTCACGTGACGTCACATGACGTCACGTGTTTCTATTTGAATTTTTTCTTCCAAATTTTGTAGGAAACATTTCTGCTAAATTTTGCGGGAAAATATTTTCGCTAATTATGTCGGGAAAATTTTCCTTTAATGTTGGCGAGAAAATGTTCCGCTAAATTTGGGGGAACGTTTCCGCTAAATGTACCGAAAACTTTTCCCGTTGAATTGAGGGGGTCGATAGGGTAATGACGCTAAGGCCACGTGTGACGCCACACGTCGCTGCGCGCGTTGCATTATGAACGTCTTAGGGGCGAAGCTCCTTAGGGTCTAGCCTTGTCCGTCCGTCCGTCCGTCCGTCCGGCCGGCGTCCGTGCTCACTTAAAAAGAAAACAATGTTTGCGCAGTCGACAAGATTCGAACCTGTGCGGGGAGAACCCAATGGATTTCCAGTCCATCGCCTTAACCACTCGGCCACGACTGCGGGACGAGTAGGGGGCTCTGGGATGTGGTGGTAACTCAAGAACTGGGGTTTCTGTCATGGATGAAACGTTGCATGTAGCCGCTCAACGTCTATACAGGAGAGGGCGCTGCGGTCAAATGCGTATATAATCGCGTTAAACGTTGTATGCATTGGCTCAACGTTTATAGGCGAAAGGGCGCTGCGGTCAAACGCTCAAATGCGTATATAACCACGTTCCATACCACACATTCTCTTTCTGACATGGACCGTTGACATAAGCGGTGGAGATGCGTTCCCACGGCTTCTAGCGGATCCAAGCTGATCCGATAGAAGAACCACTGGCTCTGCATTTCACCGACCATAAAGCAGTAATAATGAAGTCGAAATGCAATCCGGAACTTAGCACTACCTATGAGCAATAAAAAAAAAATCAGCACCATCAGCACTACCTATGAACAATAAAATCAGTATGATCAGAACGACCAGAGCTTCGCCCCAATCAACATCATTCACCACGAGGAGATGCGGCTACTTTTTGGTCCCACCGACGCGATGGCGACGCCGACGCCGGAATTTTCGCGACACAAACTCCTATACGTTATAGCGATAAAAAAATCGAACTATTCGATTGAGTTCATCGTTTACGGAACTTAAGAACGACGCAGAGATAATTCCGCAAACGAACGTAAAAGAATCGTCATTAGGAAAACAGAAGCGCAACGAAAATCGGAAAAAAAAAAAATCTTAGAAGTGGCAACACAAACTGCATATTGCATTTTGTAGAGAAACTAAAAAGTAAATTTTTCTTTCACAAAAAAGAAAGTTTCTTGTCAAAGTATAAATTATCCTAAGTTTCATGCGTGATTAGTGCAGCTCTTTTAGTAGTCTATCGTAAAAATTATTTTGAGCACAACTAATAAGCCTGTGCACTTTATATTCCAAGGAGGTTAACCCATAAAGCCGCGGTAACACCGTAAACGCATCATACAAAAGACGCGGTTTGCAGACCTGACGAGAGAATTATCACCACCTGAAGCATGGTCGAAGCATGCTGCCTTCAAACATGCGGAAAGTGTTCCCAATCATGCGAGCAAGAAATCAGGCAGTGCCTGAGGGCTGTCCTTTAACCGAGGCACTTACCGTGCCACCAGAAAATACAGAAGTGCTTGCAAGCAATACAAGACATATGGAAGGCCCGTTAAATCCAGAGGGCCAATTGAGTACAAACGTAAGAGAACGTGCCAAGTGTGAACAAGTTTGCCTGGGACGTCTTGCTCAGGTTTCTACAGTCAAACTATTTGAGAGATAAGGCCTGCCCATTACGCCATCGATGGTGGATCCCCTATATCCGCCCAGAGCGGCAGGTACGCCGAAGCTCGTCGACAGCGCGCGTCTTCAACTATGGGCCCTCGATTTCCGCCTGATGATGTCCTCTAAGCGTCAAGCTGTCGCCTCCAGCCTTAGCTTCCTCTATACACACAAATCCTGGAAGTTGGACGGCGGAGCCGTAGAGTGCCTGATCGCAGATTTGGAGCGCGAGGATCTGGTAGTACAGAGAATCAAAGAGCCATCTCTCGGGGAACCCGGACGTCAGCGCACAGCATTTTCCAGCGGCGACGACCCGAGCCACACTTGTTCGCTCGAGAGAAGTGTGTTTCGGCGTCTCGCCGTAGCGGGGTGCCAGTCACGTGGCTCTCCTCTCACCCGTCGTCTGCCGCTCCACCTTTTCTGTTTCGGCGGCCGCTGCTCATGGTGATCTGCCAGGCTTGGTCAGTATATAAGAGGCTTTGGTTCAGCTTAACAGTCCAAGTAAGCTTGGGTGGCCTGAATCAAGGACGCGGAGACGAGAGCGACACTCACGGTCGCTCGCACGCTTTGCCGGGATTTCTGCGTTCAACCAACGGGCTCGATTACGGGTCCTGGCGTGACAAGCAGGCTCCTGTGACGTCATTTGTTGCCCCTTTGGGACGTCTTTCGATGCGTGGGTGGACGATGCAAAATAATGCTTCACTTTTGTCTTTAAAGCTCAGAAGCGAACTTTTAATTTGGGACAAAGTAATTTCAAAAGTAATGAGTAATTTTTCGAAATTACTACCTCAAAGTAAGTCATGAAATTACTAAATCACCGGCCCATAAATGTGAAATATTACAGTACTCATTACCACAAAGAGTAATTTATTGACTGTAATTTAACTACAGTAATCTCATTACTGCCATCTCTGATAGAGTTGCTAGTGTCTGGGGAGCTCGTAAAGTGATACGCGGTAGGCACAACCGGACATCCCGGACCAGACTGCGACGAAGGGACGAGGTTTCCGTCGGCTTCTACGTTCTACCAAGCGCGTGAAGAGAAACACGGAGACAAATGACGAACGGCGGCGCACGCGCAGCATGTCGCCGCTCCCTATTTGCTCCGCTCCGCTCGCTGCGGCAAGCGGTCTCACAGTCACGCCGTCGGCATCTCCGGGCTTCCTGTAGAAGCGACGGTCGCTTCCCCGCAGTGAAGCTGAGGTCCAACATGACCTCCCTAATAGCAGAATTACGATACTCTGCTTCGCAGACGGAGCATGTACAGTTACTTCGGGTGTAGTAAGCCCATCTACATAAAAATAAAACCCAAAAAAACGAGAAAACAAAAACAAAAACGCTATCCTTGGAAGCACCTCGCTTGGTATCCTTAGACAATTCAAAGAAGCCACCCCTCCCCCCGAACCCCATTCCCAATCAAGAAAAGCCAAGAATATAACATTAAAGCTCTCAGAATTTTTTTTTTATTTTTTTATTTATTTTTTTGGAGGGGGGGGGGGGTTGGGGATGCGTTATTTGTGGCTAATCTGTCTAGTCTGCATTGGAATGACTACCCTTTCGCTGTTCGTAACATTAATTAATGGCGAATACCAGCCTGTCCAATGTACTGTGCTAGAAAAAAGACTAGTTTGCCGAATTTCAAAACTGCTAACTTCGTCGCAATCATACGGTCTACCTAGTTGTTTAGTAAAGACATTTCCACCCTCTGTCGCCTGAACGCTGCCATCTTGAAATCACGTGACACAGACGCCGCACAGTGGCTTCAACCCGTCGCTCCGCTCTCCCCTCCGCGCCTTGGCAAAGGAGTTCGTGTTTTTCGCCGCATTTGACAGCTTTTGTCGACATATTTTGTATAGTGTCGACCAATGCTTATAGACCTTTTCCGCTTACTCTCGTACCCAGCCACCTCGCAAACATATCCGGTATAAGCGACAAAAAAAGTTTTGAAAATAGTAAGGAATTACTGGGGAAGCGAAATGAGAATGAGCGACAGTTACGGCTATATCCTAAATACAGGCATGTACGTAATACATTACAAGTAACGAGTTGCTTCTACGTAGTTACTTTTTACGGTAACGAGTAGCGTATTTAGTTTCTTTTTTTAGAAAAGGAAGGACCCCGTTGAAAAATAGTCTTGTTTTCCTTCTAACCTGTGCATGCGTTTATTTCTACAAAGGCAGATCGGCAACCCGGAATAGACAGTACTATACTGTATGACAGTACAGCTACATTTAACCCTGATTACGTCAGTCGAACTTTACAGCTAGAAATGTCCTTGACACCGCGAACACAATACGGTTCGTTGGTTGAACCTTCTAGAATCGCGTTCAGGCCGAATGTTAACCCGGATATTGCCAGTACACGAAGGCACTCAACCCATTGTCAATTTGGAACTTTACAAGCAGAGAGAACAAACGAGAGACGGGAATCCCAGATTCATCAGCTGTTCCTGGAGCACAACGCTGCCGTTTCTTCGAGAGCGTCAGTAGAACGACTCTTCAGCCTCGCCGGAGATGTGTTCTCAAGGAAGCGGGGAATCAAAACTGATGAAAACTTCGAGAGGTGTACTGGTTATGTGCAACGACTACTGAAAAGAAAGCCATAATCCATGAAACCAAAGTAGTTGCGTATTTGGTCGTCAAAGCAACGAGAAGAGCAACTCGTTTCTCTTGAGGTAAAGCAACGCGTGCTTTGTGAAAATCAATAAAGAGTAACGTATTTAGTTACTTTTTGAGCGAGTAAGGAGTAACTGTATATTTAGTTACTTTTCCGGGGTATTGTGTACATCTGTTGCGCCAAGGCCATTGGACTTCCACGGAATAGGAAGTTTTTCCTCGTAAACCACTTCGTTTTCGAGTGGAGCACAAACCTGCGTTGCCGCCCGTGATGATGACCGTCTTGCCGTCCATTTGCTGCGTTGATCGACAAACTCCTTTGGTGTACATGGTAACAGCTTTGTGAAGAAGGCCCAGGCAGACAACGAACAGCACGGTTTCGACGAAGACCGCCCAGACGATCCAAGGCACGCTTGGTTCTTGCTCCACTTGCAACAGCTCCATGACTCGGTAATTTCTGCGGTTAGAAAACAATTTCAACGTTTTGCGTCTTCGGCGACTGTGACATACAGCAAATAACGAACGAGTTGTGTAAGACGAGGTTAAAACTGTTAAGTACAACTGAGCTCTCACGCGACTTTCTGGAACCTAGATCTAGAACATCGATTATTTTCTCAAGAACTCATTTTGTAGCTTGTGAATGGCCTTTTTAAATTGTATCTATAGGAACAACTATAATAGAAATTCAGTTCTAAAGGCTAACTACAGATAAAATGCATAAGAGCATTTGGCTAAAGTTTGATACTATTTTAAACGAGCACATAGAGACGCCCGAAATACATAGGGCTCCTCCGGAGTATCTTTATTAAAATGCACTTTGTTTAAATAAAAGAACAGATATGATTCCAATGCACTCTTTAACCTGACGTCCGAGCGTTTCTAACGCTACGACCCAATGAAACCATTCAAGCTGAGCCAAAAGCGCCTCGTCATGGCGTGTTTCGTGTGGCGTGACTTGTGTCACCGCCACCTGATAAGTGCAAACAGTGTGTCTTGATGCCGCGTTTTTACTTAGTATGTTTCTGTTTGTATTGCCACTAGCTTTAGTTCCTACTCAGACCTGGTCTAACTGCCGTCCTGAAAAATGGCAAGAATAACGAGAAGGCTCGTGCCACCATCCGTGTTGCTAAGTGTTTCTTTGTCAGTCAGATTGGCCTAAATTGGCCTCACTTGGCTTGACTCACATTGAACCATTTATTTTTTTTAACCGACCTCTATGTCGGCGACAAGGTTCCAGCATCTCAGAAGTGGAACCATGAAACCATGGCGCTCTGCGTATGGACTGCGGTGGTGACGTGTGACGAGGCAGTGGCGGATTTCTCGCTACATTAGCCATTAGTGGTAACGGATAGCTGGCTTTTCTAAGTCTTTCAACCCGCATTGTGAAGCTGGCTCCCATTGTGTGGAAACATGATTTCATTAGCGCGGATCCCAAACATTTCAGAGCAATGCCCCTCTTGACAGCCTTAGAGTGAGCCAGAACTAAAATCCAAAATTCTTTTCTTGGAGTGTGGGGAGTACGACCAGCACACATGCGTGTCACCTAATTGAAGCGGAAGGTCTAAAAACTGGAGAACATAATCTTGAAGGACCTCATATGTGAACCTAAGGCCCCCCCCCCCCCCCCCGCCCCCCATACTCAGTAAAGGTCGCCAAAATATTATTCACCTGTGTGTGCACATTGGTGTTATCTTTAAGAACAACCAAGAAATCATCCACATAGCGGGCCACCTTGTTAACTCCTCTACTTCCAAGCGCCCTTTCAATGGCACAGTCTACAGCTCCCAGATAAATTTCACTAAGGACTGGGGCTACACAGGAGCCAATACATACTCCTGACGTTTGTACAAAGTACAAAGTACAAAAATAAGACCTGTGGTAATCCCGTACCTCCACAAGACTTCACACAACTTAAGAAACGTAGTAAGTCGTTATGGGGTCCGAGAGGTTTTTTCAGCCCCGCAAAATATGAGCAAAATTTGCTCTAAAGTCAACTTGCTAGCCGAACGTGCCACAATTGACACAGGTGCACTCAAAAAACATGCCAAGCCTTCTGTTCCGTGCACTTCAGGCGTGGTGTACAACATTCCACTCTCGTGTGGCAAGACCTACGTAGTCAAACTGGCAGATGTCTTCATGAGAGACTACGCGAACATGATTACTCTGATGAAAATAAGCCCTGGAGAAGGGGGACAACAGGGACAAAGGACAAACACAAATCTCCAAACACAGCTAAGTGACTGGTGAGCGACCGAAAAAATCCGCCTGGTCCGGGTATCGAACCCGGGACCTCTCCATTACAAGTGGAGCGCTCTACCAACTGAGCTAACCGGGCGTTAGACGTCAGTAGAGCAAACGGGTTTTATCAGCTGCCACCAATCTAACACCAACAAGGGTGAAGCTTGCAATTTAATGTTATAATTATAATGCAATTAAATGCAAAGGGGCAAGCGAGCTGGACAAGAATGATGAAAATAAGCCCTGGAGAAGGGGGACAAGAGGGACAAAGGACAAACACAAATCTCCAAACACAGCTAAGTGACTGGTGAGCGACCGAAAAAATCCGCCTGGTCCGGGTATCGAACCCGGGACCTCTCCATTACAAGTGGAGCGCTCTACCAACTGAGCTAACCAGGGGTTAGACGTCAGTAGAGCAAACGGGTTTTATCAGCTGCCACCAATCTAACACCAACAAGGGTGAAGCTTGCAATTTAATGTTATAATTATAATGCAATTAAATGCAAAGGGGCAAGCGAGCTGGACAAGAATGATGAAAATAAGCCCTGGAGAAGGGGGACAAGAGGGACAAAGGACAAACACAAATCTCCAAACACAGCTAAGTGACTGGTGAGCGACCGAAAAAATCCGCCTGGTCCGGGTATCGAACCCGGGACCTCTCCATTACAAGTGGAGCGCTCTACCAACTGAGCTAACCAGGGGTTAGACGTCAGTAGAGCAAACGGGTTTTATCAGCTGCCACCAATCTAACACCAACAAGGGTGAAGCTTGCAATTTAATGTTATAATTATAATGCAATTAAATGCAAAGGGGCAAGCGAGCTGGACAAGAATGATGAAAATAAGCCCTGGAGAAGGGGGACAAGAGGGACAAAGGACAAACACAAATCTCCAAACACAGCTAAGTGACTGGTGAGCGACCGAAAAAATCCGCCTGGTCCGGGTATCGAACCCGGGACCTCTCCATTACAAGTGGAGCGCTCTACCAACTGAGCTAACCAGGGGTTAGATGTCAGTAGAGCAAACGGGTTTTATCAGCTGCCACCAATCTAACACCAACAAGGGTGAAGCTTGCAATTTAATGTTATAATTATAATGCAATTAAATGCAAAGGGGCAAGCGAGCTGGACAAGAATGATGAAAATAAGCCCTGGAGAAGGGGGACAAGAGGGACAAAGGACAAACACAAATCTTCAAACACAGCTAAGTGACTGGTGAGCGACCGAAAAAATCCGCCTGGTCCGGGTATCGAACCCAGGACCTCTCCATTACAAGTGGAGCGCTCTAGCAACTGAGCTAACCAGGGGTTAGACGTCAGTAGAGCAAACGGGTTTTATCAGCTGCCACCAATCTAACACCAACAAGGGTGAAGCTTGCAATTTAATGTTATAATTATAATGCAATTAAATGCAAAAAGGCAAGCGAGCTGGACAAGAATGATGAAAATAAGCCCTGGAGAAGGGGGACAAGAGGGACAAAGGCGCACCCAATATGTCCGGCTTTTTTTTTTTTAGGATTCTAAAATATATGGCATGCGGAGCATTTAACAGCCTTCCAAAGCAGAAAAAAATACCATTTTGGAGGCGTTTTTGAATTTTGGTTTCCTATCAAAGCACTTCTTCGCGACAGCAGTCATGCTGCCTTGGCCAAATCGAGCAGCTAACGTGAGCCACAACGTAATCTTTGCATGATAGAGGACTCCCATGGTGGTGAACTCAAAACACTTTACAATGAGGATACAATCAACTTCGCTCATTTGAAAAAGACATCTTGCCTGCAGCACCAAATCCTCCTTTAGCAGTGGGGAGAGCTTTCGAGAGAACGCATAGACATTACGCTGTCCTCGCTATCTTGCTTTCGCGCTGCGCCAAAAGGGAGGGCTGCCGGCGCGACGAGATACTGAATTCGCCAAGAGCGCGGAGACTGCAGTCTCAGCTTTCTCGACGGGTTTCCACGAGGATGGATTGTGGAAATTCAAAAGCGAAGGCCCCGAGGCTGCCCGTGGCCAGCCATCCCTATAACGCAAAACCTGTCGGAGCCAAGCTGTTTGGATTTTCGTGAAATAAAACTCTCTATAGCAGTATATATTAATAAAGAACTCGGTGAACCCAAAAATAAAAGTTTATTTTTTATTGTGATTCTAACAGCACATCCTTTAAATTGAGGAAGGGGATGCGTTAATTGAACGCTTCGACCACGTATAGCATGAGGGGATGCGCTCCTATGGAGAACGGAAACCTTGAAACGCGTTCAAATTGAATAATAATTTTGGAACACTGTAAAATGGTGCGCGTGACTGCTATTTTTGTCAGGTGTGATGGTTTTGTCTTCTTGAATAAAGCGCAGAACGTTTTTCAGTTTACCGAACCTTGATGATAGAAAAACACCATGCATTTGATTCCCGTGGCCTTTCTAAAACGTTGTGGGGAACGGATTTTCATATATCTCCGCATCATGGGCTCTCGGGAAAGGGAGGGGGGGGGGGTTCCCCCTTTCCTCTTCCCTCCCGCCCCCGCCCTTAAAAGTTTAGCGAATATTTTTTTTTATGCACTAGCAAATTGGAGTCGCCGATATGCCAAGGAGTCCCCCATACACGTACGAAGAGCCCTTGAGGATTGCGAACCAATTTCACACGTGACTGATTCATGTCTGATGTTGTGGGAAAAAACAAACAATGGATGGCTATTGAAACAATTTATGATAGAAGACGATTCTAAGATGAAAGGTAAAGGTTTTTTTTTATTACACGGATTTTATACGCACTATTATTCCGCGAAGTGAAGCTTTAGTAATGAATTGCCCGCCAGATTTAGCGGAAAAAGAGTATACCATTCGCTCGTGGTGGCATTCCTTTTGCACACCCTTCCGACGAAATGCCAACTGCCCGCTCCCCACCCCAAACATGACCAAATAATCCGCCCCTTCAAAAGCTCGTACTTCGTACAAAGTCAAAGAGAGGCGATTAATACTCTTATTGTACGTGACGTTTCCACTTAAGCATAAACCCAAACCAAAATTTATGCATCGACGTCTCTCTAACTAGCAAGGTTAATTAAATATAGACGCTGTTTTTATGGCTGACAGAGTTTAATACATTACATAATAGACCTTGTTTCGTTTTTTTTTGTACAAGGTCAAATGTCAGACTCTTTAAACAAATGTAAGATAATGAAACTCCATCGAAGCCTCATTATCACTGTCACGAGTGCGATGC